CCCCCCCCCCCCCCCACCCCCCCAGTATTTAGATTGGCAAATTTTCTAAAAACTGTTATCAACATGGATTCCAGGTATGGAGGGAGAAGAACGTATTGAAGCCAGCGCCGGGTAAGAGGCGTTGTAATTGTAGAAATGAAGTCTATCACAAGCAGATTGGTCCTGGAATGTACCAGCAGATGACAGAACAAGTACGTGTACTTGTTTAACTTTATTTCTTATGAAGATACCAAACACTTGTTTACAGATTTAATTTTTCTTGAGCTCATCATTTTCTCCTGAAGTTACTTAAGGTTTTAATTGTGCTATCTTTTACTCGTGCAGGTCTGTGAGCAATGCCCCAATGTCAAATTTGAAAGAGAAGGATATTTTGTTACTGTTGATATTGAGAAAGGGATGCAAGATGGGCAAGTAAGAAACACTTATCTTCATCTGGATTGTTCAATGAATCATATGCTATATTATGTCATATTAAAGACAGATTGCTGTAAACATATTGTTTGAAGTTATAATATTTTCTAAATAAGTGATTCTATGACTTCGAATCCCTGAATTTGAGATATTTGCAGTGAGTAGCATCTGTTCAAGTGAATTATACATGCAATTGTATCACCTTTTATGAACAATCATTTGGTATTTGCAGGAGGTCACTTTCTATGAAGATGGTGAGCCAATGATTGATGGAGAAGCTGGAGATCTTAGGGTTAGTGTTTATCCTATTATTTAACTTGTTCCATTGTGATTGTATTTGCTGAAAGTTTTGAAAATCCCCAATTTATGTTCAACAGTTCCGCATACGCACGGCACCTCATGACCTTTTCAGAAGGGAAGGCAATGACTTGCATGCCACGATCACCATCACACTGGTAACTGAAATTATAGTATAAGAACTTAAGTAATATAGTTAATAGTGTTTGTGCATCACTTGACTTTTATCATGCTGATGAGACTATTTACCTATGTGACTTGCTTTGAGCCGTTGATCTTGCACGTCAGTTTTTGAAGCTTGAACTCCAATATGCAGCTCTTTTTTCATGGGTGAAATTTTTTATGTTTGGTGGTTTAATTTTGATTTTAACTTGTCATGGTATTATAAGCTTTTACAACCCTATGGTTATTGAACTTTTTGGATACGTTTTCTTACATATCGAAACATTGATCTTTTTAAGATGGCTTATCATTTAGGATGCTTGTGCTCTGACTTCTTTTTTTTGCTGAATTTTCACCTCATCTGGTAGCCACTCAATCAAGCTAGTTAGCTTGGCATTTTCTTGAATATCAAGGTTAATACATCGAACCGTTTCGATTTATTAGGTACAAGCCCTTGTCGGTTTCGAGAAAAGTCTCAAACACCTTGATGAACATTTAGTCGAAATCGGAACAAAGGTGAGCCAGAGGATTATTTTTGTAGCATTTTCGGATGCTATCCATCAAGTCCTTAATAGATCAATTACACCTCATAATAACTTCTTCTGTTACTCTGATTATTACTAGGGAATAACAAAACCCAAGGAAGTAAGGAAGTTCAAAGGAGAAGGCATGCCATTGCATTTCAGCACAAAGAAAGGCGATCTCTATGTCACATTTGAGGTCTTGTTTCCCACATCACTAACAGAGGATCAGAAGACAAATATCCAGAAAATTCTGGGTTAGTTAGCAGCAGGTTATATAGATTTTGCAATTCTTTTTCTCTTTTTTGTTGCGCTCAATCTCAAAGATGCATGCATACCCATTGTAGTAGACTGAAAGATCATTAAGAAAATTTGGTAATTGCTGAGCCCTGCAGAAGTTTTGATTGATTTATTTAACAATGATGTTATCCATGATGATATTGATCTTTGATGTTGTTAACGGATGATGCCTCTTTTAGGAACTCATCTTTAAGTTGAAAAGTCTTGGAAAAGAGTAAGGACATCCCAAATGATATTGCTTCATGTAAACATTCTACCACTCTGATTATTAGAATTTGACAGAGTAATCTAATCAAAATTATGTCTCACTCAAAAATATACAGAGTAATCGACTCATACTACAAATTCAGTGCCTCAAAAGTTCCTCAACTTTGAGGCACGCACATATCTATTTAGTTTTTGAGCTTTTAAACATATAAGATCAATAAATTTTTGTTAAATTAGTTTAACTTATACATTTTACCGTTTGTGTCTGTGTCTATTTGATTTCAGACCGTTTAAAAATGTTTAATAAACAACGATCTTCCTGCTTTGTATCTAATTTTAAAATTAATTATGTGCCACTTAATCTAAATTTTAAAAAAAAAATTAAAGAAATTTTGTAAATTCAATCATAATAAACTTCTACAAGATATTCAATCATAATAATATATATAACACTTGTTTTGACCTGCACAGATAAGCTAAGCCAGAAACGTTAAAAAGAAAAGAGGTGTTTATTTCATTAAAATTCCAAAAGGATTGCGTAGGATAGGGAAGGGAAGGGAAGGGAAGGGAAGGGAAGGGAAGACCCCACCTTTACAAGTAGGTTGGGGCTAAAGCTAATTGCTTTGCTTTACCCTGTCTACCATGGACCCTTTGGGGTTGCTTCAAATGCCTGTCGGTTCACCATATTGAGATGAACTTTGTCCGTGCAGCAACAGATGACCCCAAATATCTTCCGATCATTACTTTGGTTTCTGTTGTAAACTCTACTGATCCACCTTCTCATCTTCTTCAAAAGCCTTTTTCAGCTTATCTTCATCTATCTCAAAAGCTCTCCTTGCCTGTTTCAGCTCTTCGTTCATCGACAACAGTTCCGTAGAACGGTTCAGTTTTCGTGGGTCCTAAAGCGTTCATACAAAATCATAAGGGTTAACAAGAAGTTTTGGCATCAAATCCTAAGTTCAAACGGCTGCAGCCAAGAGCGTTTGAGCTTTCCAAAAACAAAAGAAAAAAGGCCATGAAGCCACAATTTCAAGAGTAACAGTGACACTAGGAATATTTCATAAATATTGCCTCCACAGAAAGGAAAGCATGGATATGAGCTTTCTTCACAATCAACTTTCTATCCTTAACTTTCAATTCAAACGTAGGTTCGATTCACACTCCATGTTCTAAGAAACCGTCCCTTTGGTAGTGACAAACTCAGAGATTAATGTAACCCAATAGGGAACGATATGGAGTGTTGACCATTTGCCAGCATCTAATTTTAGATCAAAACAATGTAGCTAATCTCTTTACGTAATCAGCAAACCCCAGAAATCGCACATGGAATGATCTATGATCTATAACAGAAGCTGGTACACAAGAAACGTATGCTTACAGAATGCACGGAAAAGAGTCGAAATAATGACTAACAGCAGAACAGCAGCCCCCACTTGAAAATTTTAATAAGTCAATGTCTTTACATAAAGGATGCCATGTTGCATAGCCAAATGACGAGAGAAAAGTTCATTCATTGATATGTAAACATACAGAAAATGTAACGTACCTTGCGCATTAGATACAAGAAGTCTTCCACAGATAGTTTTCCCCTTTTGGATCCAATTTCCTGGGCTTTATACACCTGAAAAGAACATAAAATTCAGATTATCCTTACTCTACCACGTCGGTTTAGCAAGGAATACTTAATTATTGCACAAAAACTCTTACCAGTTCAGTTATGTACTCCACAACTATGTCCTCCATAAGTGCTACAGATTCTGGAAGGGGCTGTAATGCATACAAAAACTCATGAGTAGCTATTTTACTTATAAATGAAGTATGATAAGGACACAAAGACAAGAATTTTTCCTTGCTCTCATTGTACTTCTGATCCAGCTCTTAATAAATATTAAGAACCGTAACACAGCCATTATAAAGCTTCAGGATTTCGAAATCATAGTTCAGCTCTTTTGGCTTGCTTGTTATCTGATTTCTCTATTGTCATTCAGGTATTGAAAGCTTTAGAAATTTTGGAAAATACATGGAATATTGATTAGTTCTTTCCAATTCTCTTCAGGCAGGTATGCATCTTTCTGGGGGGATGGGATAGCAACTTGCATTAAAAATTTACATATCAGGCATCATGGAGATGTATGTTCTTATGATGAAAATATCTCCAAAGAATCGTCGTCCAACTATCCTAGACTCCCAAGAAGAGCTAATGTGAGATCCTAAGTCGATTGGAGAGAGGAACAAGTGCCAGCGAGGATGTTGGGGGATTGTGAGATCCCACGTCGGTTGGGGAGGAGAACAAAACATTCTTTATAAGGGTGTGGAAACCTCTCCATAGCAGACACGTTTTAAAACATTGAGTGGAAGCTCGGAAGGGAAAGCCCAAAGAGGACAATATCTACTAGCGGTGGGGTTGGACTATTACAAATGGTATCAAAACCAGACACCGGGCAGTGTGCTAGCAAGGACGTTGGGCCTCGAAGGGGGTGGATCGTGAGACCCCACATCGATTGGAGAAAGGAACGAGTGTCAGCGAGGACACTGAGCCTAAAGGGGGGGTGGATTGTGAGATCCCATATTGGTTGGGGAGGAGAACGAAACATTCTTTATAAGAGTGTGCAAACCTCTCCCTAGCAAATGCGTTTTAAAACCTTGAGGGGAAGCCCGAAAGGGAAAATCCAAAGAGGACAATATCGGCTAGCGGTGGACTTGGACTGTTACAGCTAAACAATCAAAGTTTTATCTACTAGAATTTACTCACTTTCTAAGGTCTACATAAGATTTCAACGAAAGATATACAGCCATGGAAGGTGAGAAGCAGAAAAAACCACAAAAAGTACAAAAAGAAAATTTCAGGTTTGAATTTCCATGGAAACAAACATAATCCTCCTTTCTTTATAAGTTAGAACAGAATGAATATATGATAACTTTCACTTACATTGGCGTCATCTCCAAAACCATACATCATGTGCTGCACTGAAAGAACAGAGGACACATAATTACATTTTCACATACAAATTTGCGCTGAAAAATCAAAGAGGAAGAAAAGGAAAACTAGTTACATTCTTTTTGAAAAACCCCTCTCTTGCGCTTAAAAGAAGTTTCAGAGGGTTGAGATGATCCAGTTCTTTGCTTTGAGGACGATCCAGCTGATGGATTATTCATCTTCACGATCTTCCCACAATAATCAAGGCGAAAAATTACCTAAACGCGAAGATAAAATCATCAAATTAAACAATATCAAACATCTATAACCATCGAGCCACTAAATCGAAACATTCCTATAAGAAAATTCCGACTATACGGAATTATAGCCGAAAACGTTAAAGGGAACAAAATCCCGAACTCGAGGGAAAGAAGATAAACCCTAATGAAAAGTTACACTATCAAGCAAACATTCGAAAAAGAAAGGGGAATTTCAAAGTGGAGCGCCTCGGAAGAGTGGTGTAAATTTACTTGTCGATAAAATATACGCCGATAAAGATGAAAAGAAAGAGAAGTATTAGGATCTGCAGAGATTGGGTCACGATTCTCACCGGAGATGGAGAATTCGAGTCACCGCATGAGATTCGCCGGAGCTTAAACTATTCTGCCGCCAAAGGTGTTCAATTGGGAAATTCCAAAAAGCTGGGGCATTAAAAATAAAAATAAAAAGCTAGTTTTTTCTTTTAGCCCATTGAGCTTCAAAATACCTTTAAAATCGATTTTAGGGTTTATATTGGAAAAAAAAAATGGCTTACTACTAGTAGATAGTATCCATTTTAGTTTATTACATATTGCCATCAACTTCACGATAGTAGATATTATCTGCTTTAATCAGTTATATATTATCGTCAACCTCACGATTTCAAAATGCATCGTTGGGAGAGGTTTTCACACTCTTACAAGAAATGATTTGTTCTTATCTCCAACCAATGTAAGATTTGACGATATTAAAAGTATGCTATAAAATAAAAAAATAAAAAAAAAATTATCCACGAATAAATACCTTTTAAAATAAAAAATAAAGAAATTGTTACGTTTATTATTTGATAAAGTCTTCGATAAAATTTCATATAAAATTCAAAATGAATTAATACTCCAAGACGATGATGAGCTTTACAAATAAGTTAGAAATAATAATCAAAATTCAATAACGTAGAAACTAAAAAAACGACATAACATTATCCAATTCTAAAAATTGAAACAAACTCTATTTTGAAAAATAAAAATAAAATATCCGGTCTGAAAAATCGGACGGGTTGAAAGTGTGCCACGTGGAAAATCAGACGATCGAGGCGTCGGGCAATCGGGCGAGTTCAAGTTTATCTGTACTCGCAGGCGAGTAGGAGGATGGCCACCATGAGAAGTCGTGTACAGAGAAAGATAGGAACGTAGATTTTGCGGACACGTCAGGGACCTGTGTTGTTATGTGGCACGTGATATTCACGCTCCTGACGTGGCGAAAACTGGGATGAGCCCACTCACGCGCTTTCGTAGGAAGAGACTAGTGCAAAAGTGCGTCGTTTAAGGCTATCGGATGCTGACGACGTCGTTTGTACTTGTAAGAAAATTCATGGAAGGTAGGTGACCTGTTTGGATACGTAAATAGCATAGCCCTCCCCTTCGGCTTCCTTGTATAAATGCACACTTTCCTGGCTTCTCTCTCTCTCTCTCTCTGCCTCTCTCTCTAAATTTTTGTTAGAAATTCTCGACGGAGTTCAACAAGGCAACTCAAATTCAAAGATCGTGGTGATCATCGGAGGCTTTTTTGTTGGCTAATTCTCGCGTGAATCTCGTTTAAATATCGGAATCTGATTCAGATTTTTATAGAACGATCAATTTTTTATACTTGAAACCAAAAGAAGAGACAGAGTATTGTATTGGAAATCGGTTTTAGAGAAGACGAAATGATGGATAGCTTCTGTTTGAATCCTGGAATCCATGGAATTGCTTCGTCATTATCAGTGAATGCGGCTCTTGATGTTCGTGGGAATCCGTCTAAGGTCAGTACGGCCGGTCGGTCCTCATCGGCAGTTGAGAAATCGCAGAAAACGATTTCGCCGTCTCCGTCGTCTACGTCGTCTTCTTCATCATTTCTGAAGTTTTCTTTGAAGTATCCCTTGCAATCTCTATGGAATCGGAGTGGTGAGGGTGGGGATTCGAAGCGTGGCGGTTTGGCGCTTGACGAAGCCGTTTTGGTGGAGAGTGAAGACGGTCGGAGAATCGTTCCTGAGGAGGAAAGTAGAAATGTAGCAACCGGATCGGAGTGGAGAAGTGAAAACTGGGTGATGAAAATTTTGCATGTGAGATCTCTGTGGAGAGAGGAGGGGAAGCAGGGAAACTCGGAAGATGAGCTTAGAAACGAGATGGAAAAAGACCGTGTGGCGGAAGATCGGGAAATTTCTTGTGATGAGGAAGAGTTTTGTGATACTTGCAGCATCGTCGAGGAAGAAGACGAAAAGGAGATTGAATTTGATAAACACTCGTTTTCGAGATTGCTTCGACGGGTTTCCTTGGCCGAAGCGAGATTATATGCTCAAATGTCGTATCTGGGAAGCCTCGCATACTCCATTTCCGAAATTAAGGTACAAAATTTGATTAAACAACGACAATTTCGTTTTTCACCGTTAATTAATGAATTAGAGAACTCCATGTTAAGATTTGTGTGCTAATCAAGCAATCTAAGTGATAATAGACTATAAATTGCTGTTATAAGAATTAGTAAACGATCTGGATTGCGTCTGCTCTGTACCTCTGTTGGTTTATCGAATCAGTTGTTAATTTTTCAATCTTTTGTTGGCATCAGCTTATTTTTCTTTCATGTTATTGAGCTTCAGCGAGCTTAAACAAATAAGTTTTGATTGTTTCGTTGGAGATCCTTTAACATCTGATTTCATTTTTGTTAATCCAGCCGAAGAATCTGCTGAGACATTATGGTCAACGTTATGTAACTTCTTCAATAGAAAAGAGAGAATTGGCTATGAAAACTGAGAAAACCCAAGAACTAGCTGAATCTAAAGAGGCTGAAAAGGATTTAAACAATGATGAACAGTGGGAAGAAGTGCAGAAAAAGAATGGACATCAAATAAGTGCATCTACTGCTTATGGGATTGCTGCTTCTGCTGCTTCTTATTTGCATTCTCATACCAGAAGAATACTGCCATTCAGATCCACTAAAACTGAAAGTTCACTTGAAGCAAATCAGGACAATGTTGATAAGATGAACTCAGATATGGCTTCTTTGATGGCAACCACCGACTCGGTTACTGCTGTTGTTGCTGCAAAGGAGGAAGTGAAGCAGGCCGTTGCAGACAATTTGAATTCAACTCGGTCGTCACCGTGTGAATGGTTTGTGTGTGACGACGATGAGAGCAGTACAAGATTCTTTGTCATTCAGGTACATTTCCCATCCCCTTGCCAGAAAAATAAGAAAATGAAGAGTAGCCTAGGCGTGAGATTACTCAAGGCTGGCATTTGATCGATTTTAAATATCTTTTGTTATTTGGATTGGTTCTTCTGAATGTTAATTTGATGCTAAAACAGTCTTATAAATGTTAATAAGCACCTGTTACTATTTGATGTAATTGACCTAATGTATATGGTCTCTCTTTCATTGGTGCAGGGATCTGAATCACTGGCATCTTGGCAAGCAAATTTGCTTTTCGAACCAGTTGATTTCGAGGTACAAATTCTGGCTTCGAGCTTTTTAAATCGAATGCTGTAATTTGTTGCATAGCATGCCATAGATGTTGAGATATGATGAATCTAATCTGCAGAAAACTGATCTCTGTGTGAATGTCTTGTTATATAGGGACTAGGTGTCCTTGTCCACAGAGGAATCTATGAGGCTGCTAAAGGAATGTATGAACAGATGTTGCCTGATGTCCTCGAACATCTAAAGTCTCACGGTGACCGTGCAACCTTTCGATTTACTGGACATTCTCTTGGTGGAAGCTTGGCTCTGCTTGTAAATCTCATGCTCTTGATAAGAAATGAGGTTCCAGTGTCTTCCTTGCTTCCTGTCATTACATTTGGTGCACCATCCATAATGTGTGGAGGTGACCGCTTACTTCGCAAGCTCGGTTTGCCTCGGAACCATCTTCAAGCTGTAACATTACATAGAGACATAGTACCACGAGCCTTCTCATGCCAGTATCCGAACCACGTAGCTGAACTTCTTAAAGCTGTCAATGGGAACTTCAGGAATCATCCATGTCTAAGTAACCAGGTGAGCTTCAAATCTTTTACTGATCAGAAAATACAAATGTCTGGTAGGTGCCATAATCTAAATTATGAACTATCTGAACTGCAGAAATTGCTGTATGCTCCAATGGGCGAGCTTGTAATTCTGCAGCCCGATGAGAAATTCTCTCCAAGCCACGATCTTCTTCCTTCAGGTAGTGGCCTGTATCTTTTAAGATGTCCACAATCTGATGCCAATGGTGCAGAGAAGCAGCTCCAAGCAGCACAGATGGTATTCTTAAACACGCCCCATCCACTTGAGACCCTTAGCGATCGATCCGCTTATGGTTCGGGGGGAACAATCCAGAGAGATCACGACATGAGTTCCTACCTAAAGTCAGTTCGAGGAGTGATTCGTCAAGAACTAAACCACACAAGGAAAGCAAGGAGAGAACATCGGCGTAAAGTCTGGTGGGCTCTCATGGCTCCAGGAAAGGTCGATATAGGAATTGTGATCGGACGGCCTACCATTTCGATCAACCTCGGGCAGGACCAGTTCAAATTCTCTGGGATCCTGCAAACGGGAAGAGAATCGTTTCAACGATTCAGTAGGCTTGTTGCTTCACAGCATATGAATCTGCTTGTGTTGCTGCTGCTCCCTGCTAGATTGCTACTCTTTGAAGTCAACAGGGTAGTTGGTTAAAAGTTATTGTTCTTGTTCTTACTGTTCTTCATCTGGTTTCTTGTCGCATTTTTGGTGGAGCTGGATGGATGGATGGGCCGTCTGTACAAATGTGGGTTCAATTGGTTGGCCAAACAACAGTTAGAAGATTCTTTATTCATTGGTTCCAAAATGTAGACAGCAACAACAACTCATGTTGCTAATTCAATGTAATGTAGCAAATCATTTGTCAAAGTCAATCCTTTTACGAATCAATTGCTTGTACGCTACTCTTGTTCTTTCTCTCCTGTTAATTTTCATTGGCCCTCTCATTGACAATGATCCATCGTTCGGTTACGGATTCAAGTGCTCAACTCAATCGAACTCTAACTCAATTTTTGACTAAGGGTATAGAAAATGTCCAGGTGAAATGGGTAGAAGTAAAAAGGAATACCAACCGCGAAAGCACTTTACCAGGTCGACAGCGTGTCGACCTTAAGAGACAAGTTAGCATGACAAATTATATAAGTACTCCAATAGTCCTAGCCGTAAACAATGGATATTAAGCAATGCGTAACCCCGTATAATATTATAGCTAACGTGTTAAATATCTCATCTGGGGAGGTGATAAAACTCAAGAGAATTGACAAATACTTGTACGAACGGAGGAATCTCATACCATATACATATAATTCGATCGAATTCCAATTCATATTTGTTATACCAAGATACATTTTTATTTAAATATAAACAATGTTCTATTAAAGTATTTACTAAAATTTGCATGAAAAAACATATTTATCTAAAATGAAAAGGTGAGGACTTTTTTGGGCATACAATTATTTATAAATAATAATAATAATAATAAATAAATAAAACAAAAAAAAAAACATTTATAAAGGAAGCAGCCGACCAAGCATCCTTCAAATTACAATCTGTCCACGTTTTTTGTTAGACAATCTACGTGTTCAGCACGTGGCTAGCGACATGTAGAAGTCAGTCCAAGGGAACTGAATCCGACGTGTCGGAAAATAATAGTCACTGCCTTTTCTTTTTTTTCTTTTATTTCCCCCTTTTAATTTTATTTTTCTTTATTAATCTTTTTCCATTTACAGACAAAAAATGGCTCCTTTTTAGTTTCCATATCTATCCATCCAACAAGGCAACTTAATTTCTGATATTCAAAATGCATTTTTTTGTTTTAATTATTTGTATAAATTTATATTAATATCGGTGGGTTTAAAATTTCATTATGGGTTGTTTTGATAATAATTCTGGGTTTTTAAAATTAATTTTGTTAATTAATTCGATGTAATTTAATTTAAAAATCAATAATAATGTCTTTTTCTCGTTTAAAATGGGTTTTTTCTTAAGAAAATAGAAAATTTTGAAATATCTAGAATTTGTCGAATTAAAGTGCTTTTGACTCGAGTCAATAACTGCAACTTGGGATAAGCACCACCCTACGCGCAGTTCACACGCGCGTCGGCATCGTTTGTAGTTGTACAACTAAGGCTAAATTATCAAATAATAATAAAATAAGGCTAAATAAATAAATAAAAAAAAATATATATATATAGTATACATTGTCTAATGTCTAGAAAAACACTTTTATTATTGATTTTCGACTTAATTCAAAAATATCTTTAAATTATAATATTTCAAAAAATGCTTTTGAATTTTAAAAATGCCATTAATATCCTTAATTTTTTTAAAAAAATTCAAAAATACCTTATTCATATGACATATGAATCTGTTGACAGGCTGTAGTTATTGAAGTGAGTTACCAACTCAAATCACGAATCTCTACCATGTTGATATTGTCACTTTGAGTATAAACTCGAATGTCTTTGCTTTTGGCTAAAATGCCTCGTACCAATGGAGATAGTATTTCTCACTTAAACTCAGGATCTTCTACTAAATATAAACTTACGATTTTCCACTAAATTAACCAACGTGTGACTCACTTCCAATAATCCTCACCAATTCTAATCTCAAACAAAGTACATCCTTTATTCAACACTTCAGTCACTTTTCACAACTCATTGACCATTTTCACATAGGTCCACAATCAAAGGCCTCTCATCATTTGTTCCGTAATATCAATAAGTGAAAAGCAAATTCAAAATATATTAAATTTTGATCCACATATTACTATTATCATCAATAGTGTTACATATGTCTACCACTCAAGACCGACATTAGAACTTGCACTTCTCCTTTGTGTAACATAATATTGATAAAAGAAAGGACCAAAAAAAAAAAAAAAAACAGAGCAAATCCAGCATATAGTGATGTTTAGCTGTAGTTGGGTTGAAATTTCTGTCATTTATTCAATTCCTAAACAAAATAGGAATAAGATTTCACACGGTATCGCGAGAATAGTTCAACTAGCAAACATGATGGATCAAAAAATCAGAAGTATAAATCCTACTAGAACGTGTAACTGGTGCAGAATAACAGGCTTAGGAGTATGATTTTATGAATATCTTGCAGAAATTAATAAACAGTCAAAATCCATTTGCAGCATAGGAAAATAAACATGGACAATGATGTGGATACAACTTTTATTCTCACTTTGTTCTTTATCAAACCATTCAAACAGGCAATTCTATTGTCCTACAGCAATATATGACAGTGTAACAGAGGAGCAATGGGGCAATTGCTTAAAGGGTGTAAATTACTGTCATACACTTGTGAGTTACAGATTAATTTTACCTGCCAAATACCAGGAGTGCATAGCCAGACTACCAAATGCTAAGATATTGGCAAGAGATGACAAGCCATGAATCATCCCGAATTTCTTGTTCATTGCTGCAAGTTTTGGGTTCACCTTTGCAACTTCTACATTTTTTGACAACCCAACTTCGTCGCCAATGTTAATTTCCTTCTCAACTTTGTACCTTTGTTTCATCAGCTGAAGAACAATAATGGAAAGAACAGAAGAGATGGAGTTGAATTGTGTTACTGTAAATAATGTTGAGATGCAAAAAGCTCAAAGCAGGTAAAATTACGATCAATTGAGTTGTGACACGATCGAGCTGATGAAGCACTGCGGTGGGACGGTGGCGTGTTTTAAGTGATCGTAATAATTCAATCTTAAGAAATGCTAGAAGTGTTCTTGTCATTTATATCAATGCAGGCTCTTTATTCTCCTTAGACTACATGTTTGTCCATTTAAAATATTACTTCAGAGCATCTTTAGAATGGTGTTAACAGTACGAGAAATATCTTCTTCTTCAGCTCATCTTTAAAATTTATAAAGATTATCTACAAATACCTGATAAGTTCTAGTACATCTAAAATACCTTCTTCTTCCTTTTCTTGTAGAAGTTATCTTCTCATATTTCTCTTACGAAACAAGCTATTCATGTTTCTGTCATTTTTTTAACAGAAGTATATTTCTATTATGTTGTGCTACTTCCACATGTCCCATCGTTAAAGATCTACCTTTATATGTTATTGTGGATGATTCGTATAATTCTAATGGTGTTGTTTTCTCTACCCACGGTATATCAATGCTATGTATATGCTATTTCCTTATGCTATCAGTGCTATGAATATGAAAATTAGCAAAAATATCAACAAATGTTAATATGGTATCAGCACGGATAAGGAAAAGCATGTATTAACAAACTTATAATTAAAGGTTTAAAAGTAAATAATCATCAATCTCTGTATATCTTGTCATGATAATCCTTGATTATGACCAATCTTGGAGGTAATTTGATTGCCTCGATAAAAAACTTGGACATCATAAGGTTACAAAACATCTTGAATTCAGAGATCTTCGTAAAGACATGGCAATCCATGACAATTTAGAAGGCATCAGAGTAAAACCAAACAGACAAAGGCTGAGTATTTAACTAGAGTTTCCCCAGACCATTGGAAAACTGTGCCATCTTATATTAATTTATTACTAGATATCCTAAAAAAATTCTCGTTTACTTCAAGAAAAAGTTCAAATGGGGCGAAGAGAAATTATGAGAAGCAATTTCAACAACTAGATGAAGACTTTTAGACCCTACTGTTCTGAATTTAGGATTGAATCACTAGTTTCTTCGGTGCTATTGTGAGATCCCACATCGATTGGAGAGAGCTGGCCTCGAAGGGGTGGATTGTGAGATCCCACATTGATTAGAGAGAGAAATGAGTGCCAGCGAGAACACTAGACCCCGGAGGGGGTGGATTGTGAGATCCCACATCGGTTGGAGAGAGGAACGAAACATTCTTTACAAGAGTGTGGAAATCTCTCCCTAGCAGACGTGTTTTAAAAAACTCCCCTCAAGGGGAAGCTCAAAGAAAACAATGCATGCTACCAATGGGTTTGGGCCCGTTACAACTATGAAACTAGAGTCGTAGCTTTTAGCTGTTTTGATAAGACAAGTTCATGGGGTCATTTTCAGGGCATAAATTTTCCATTCAAACATAAAAGAAACCACGTGATACACGTTGTCTCTAGTGAGTGAGAAGCCGCACACACAAAATATCACAACAAACATTTTCACAGCATAATATCAATTACGTATGTATCTTGTGGGGGAAAGAATTCCAGAAATATGAGACATTACCTCGATGGTCATGGGCGTGAACACAAACAGGTTGGCCAAATTAAAAGCAAACGCCGAGATCAAAAACCCAAGCTGGTACCTCTCAGGAGTTGCTGAAGACTTCCATGGATGAAGATAACCAAAAGCTGCAACGGATGTAGCACAGCAAACTCCAACCAGTGAGAAAAAAGCAGGGAACATCTTGCTTTGAAGATTCCCGAATTGGTGCCTCGGCAGATTCCTAAGATTGATATACGATAAGAGTAAATATAACATATTGAAAGCATAACAATCGTTGAAGATTGCCTCTAGTAGTATCTGAGACATAAGAAAAAATCATCCTCTGTACAAATTTAGAGATGTCCAAGACACTGAATCTCCACTCAGTTGATTGACGCGCAAGAAAAAGTTCAAAATAGCAAAAGAAAATCACTCAACTAGATTGAAAGATTAATCCATAAAAAAGAACAAAAATCAAATTCGCGTTTACTAAAAGTGTAATTCCTATTGCCTGCAATCATAGCAGAAAAGTAATTCTGTACTAAGAAATGGAAAACGAGGAAATACTTGAACGAGATGACGCCGCCGATGAAGGAGACCCAAAGAGAGACGCCCCAAGCAGTGGAGTAGCTGAGGAGGTGAGCCAGTTTGAGATACATCGAAACATTCGGCGCATTAAAGGTTTTGGAGTTCGATCCAAAGGTATCCGGCGAAAATACCACTCCGATTGCGAGAAAAGC